GGGGGGTTTCTGTCGGGGTTTCCCTGGGCACGAGCAGGCAGCGACAGGCGGGTCCCACCGCGAGCTGCGGGCAGCGAGGGTGCCCCTGCCCGGACACCGCGGGGGCTCGAGGCAGCGCAGCCAGAGCCCAGAACACTGGGATCCTCCTGGCATTTCAAAACACAATTAAGTCCTTTCAGCTGGTCAGAAGCAGTGATTTAAGGAGAGAAGAGAAAAGTGCTTTTTCTCTTCCAGGGAGCCCTGTCTCATGTAATTTAAGTTGTCTGAAGAGCTACAATGCCTCATGCAAGTCCTATTAGCTTCACTAAATGCAGCCTATTGATTTTTTGCCAGTTTATTTTGCTCTATGCTTTAAACTGGGAGAACACTGATGTTGTTTAAGAGCTCTGCATCAACACCCAAGGAGCATTAAATGCAGGAAGAGAAGGAGAGAAAGGGAGAGCCAGCGAACCCAGGGGCCTTTTTTTTTAAAAAAAAAAAGCCGTTATCAGCCAGCCGAGTATGCTATTCATTTCAATTACCCATTGTAATGCACAGATATTTAATAATCCTTTTGGAGGCTACATTTCTTGCTGCTCTTTGAGGTTTGATAGATGCCACAAATCTACCTCACAGGCACTGGCCCAGGTTTTCAAGTGAGGGAGATTATCCTGCCTCTCGAATGGAGCTTGCGCCGGCACATCCGCTACTGGACGTTTGTCAAGTGGATTATAACAGGCGGGAGCTTTAACTGGGAAGAAATGAGTCGGTGGTTCTCGCGGTCGGGAGAACGAGCCCACGAGGTTGAAGACAGAGGAACAGCCCTTGGCACTGCGCTGCACCAGCCAGCTGTGGGGTGCTCAGCTTTTGTTTAACTTTTGTTAAACATACTGGAAAAAAGGAGGTGGACAGGTAAAGTTTTTGAAATACGAAGCATTATAAGGCACTTTTTTTCTTAGCAAATTTACCCTTATTTATATAGTGTTTTTATCAGAAGAACCTATGCTGGCACATTTGGGGTGAATTTGAAAACTGAGGGGGAGATGTGACAGCAGCAGCTGGGATGGGCTGGGGCTCCATCTCCTGCTTTCTTATGGAAGGACAGAGGCCTGAAACAGAGGAACAAGAGCTAAAGCAGAAAGCACAGCTTCTGCCACCACGGCTCCTCGTGCAGCTGCAGGTGAGCAGCCACCCTCGTTCCAGGCAAAGCACAAGGATTTACCAGCCCCTCCAACTTATCAGCCAGCTTCAGGCTCTTGCTAAGTAGCGTTGTGGAGGAGGAGGTTTTGGCTGACTAAGCTGCCTCTTATAAAACAAAAAGGCAGAAAGAGCTGTAGGAAAAACAAGAAATTAGGCAGAAAAGAAGAATGCACAAAGAGGAGCAGGCAGCAGCATGGACAAAAGCCTCAACAGCAAGTGCTTTTCCAGAGCTTGACTGGATGGACAGAGCTGGGCTGAGAGCTGCAGCCGCCCACAGGAACCCAGTGCCCAGCGAAGGAGGCACTTCAAGAGAAAGCTGGTGTGCCTTTCCTGGGGAAACCTCCTACACTAAAGCAGTTACATCTTTTGTGCCAGCCTACATACAGACAACTCAGAAGGTGGTCACAGATAAATGGTACATTTCACATGTTACAGAAGGACAAACAATAACCGTATTTCTTCTCACCCAACACGTTTTCTAGAAGAAGGAAAAGACATTCACACGAATAGTAAGCTAGAAAACATACTCCTCCTTTTTTAACAGAATGCCTGCTGATAGTGAAAGAATACTCATGTTTATTTTTAGCCATAAGACAATCTTCTTGAATGTTTCTATGCCTCTGTTTATGTGGATACGTTAAATTTGTTTGGCAGTTGCACGTATCTCAGAGAAGACATGTTTTCTTGTGATGCTTGAGGAAAGACAAAAATATAATAGAGTGTGTGCAAAAGAGAAAAACATGCCCTCTGAAATGTTCTCTGTCTTCTCTCGCTGTGCAGAAACATTACAGGACAAACAAAATTCTGGTTAGGAAACTAATGCAGTTAAGCAGATGTGCTGATAGCCTGTCACACCAGCAAGTTCTGCAGGACATCAAGGCAGGTCTCGCTGTACCTTACTGGAGTGAGCAAATGGTTCCGTTCCACCTACAAGATACGGTCTCTGGAGCAGTGACTCTCTCTGCTGTTGGCACAACACGAAGTGTGCTGGAACCTTTGCCTCTTGTTATGGCAACGTGAAGCCAAACAACACGGGGCAGTGAAAGCAGATATTTAAGACAAGGTCTAAATGGTAATAGTTCCATTGCGTTACCTGTTCTCAAACTGGTATTGTCATTATTTACTGTAAAGACACTGCGTTTCAGCAAATAGAAGATTAATTCTTATTCTGGGGGTGGGGGGGATCATTTTTCCAGAAATCCAAAATTTCCACGTTTGAAAAAATGTGGGCTTTCATGAGCAGCAAACCCACAGCACTGGTTAAAAACAACGAGGAAGGAATTCAGCGAACCCTCACGGCCGATTACGCCCTCCTGATGGAGTCAACCACCATCGAGTACATCACCCAGAGGAACTGCAACCTGACTCAGATCGGGGGACTCATCGATTCCAAAGGCTACGGGATTGGGACTCCCATGGGTAAGTGGCAGCGGTGGGGCTTCTGTAGGTAGCCCAGGAGCGGGGCCAGTTACCACAAATACAACAGATGCGATTAAGATAATCTGCTCCCAACAGCACATTCCCAAATACCAAAGCTTACGCTGTCTGCCTGTTGAAGAGGGGTCTGAA